CTTTCCAGATATAATCATTCATCATCAACAGCTTTCGTTTAGATTTTATGTGACTCTAAGCTTTAACATCTTTCTTACTCGAATTTAACCTATATTTTACCTAATCTTTACCTAAAGAATCGACATTTGAAATTTTTAACAAGTCAATGTGTTTCTTCAAGACATTCTTCAGTAGTTGTTTGTCCAATCAATTATTGTTCAACGACATGCAATCATGACAAATATGTTAACTTCACTGGTTAGAACTGGCGGGCTCTGGCTCCCCACTTACGTGAACATTCTGGTTTGTGTAACATACGGAAGATGAGGTGTTAATAGGGAAGAGCATGTGTGTTTTCATTAGAATTGCAGCGTTGTTATTGCAAAGTGTTTTTTTTGATACTATTTTTCTTGTATCATAGGGATTATAATGGTGAGAACTTCAAAGGCCTTATGCAAGCTGCTTTATAGACAATATATGCTTTAAAGATATCTATTTCGTCCTCATAAAGAAACTTGAGTTCAATCTCTGCCTTTGCTCTGCCTTTCAAAAGCAACTATAAAGACTTCACCGTTTAATTTAGGTAATATTTCGTACTAGTCAGTTTAAAATGTGAAAAGGGGATTTAAACAATAAAACAATACTATTATGAATTTTTATATACCTAGTTTGATTCTACAAGTATGAAGCTTTTTCAGAAGTGTCTAAATTCGCTCATTTGGATTTTTTGTGGATCCTGTGAAAGGTATAGGTATAAGTTTATATTTTATGGAGTCTGCAGGGATTCAAAAACATAGCGAAATATAAAAAAGAATAATAAAAAAATATGTAAATTTAAATACACCAAAAAGTTGTTTTGTTAAACTGGCATTTTATTTCGAAACGCCATGAAGTGCAAACTCATAAGTGACCATCATGGCTTGCATAACAGGTCTGTAATGTTTCTACCTTTGTGTCCACAGCGTATTCTCGCCTCGGCCTGGTGTGTTGACAGTGTTAGCAATTACTGAACGCTTTTCACACTTCCCCGCTAACAGTTCCACTCGAACGGTGACTGAAAGTGTCACTGATTCTTTCCAGTTCGAATCGAGTTTAGACGGACTGGACATGACTTTGTCATGTTATGTTCGGATGTTATTGAAATAGTCTATATGAGTTTGCTTTAACAAAAAAAAAAACAAGGTTAAATAACTGTAATTAGATTAAATTGTTTCAAACATTCTCAGTTGACCTACATACATATTTGTAAAGCAAAGATGAGCAACTGACTGATTCATCTATCACAGCACAAACTGCTGGACAGGATAAAAAAAAATATATAAAGTCTTAGGTGCTAAAGATGGTATTTTGAACTGAAGTTGTCCAGCGAATCAGATCCCATGTGAATTCATAATCAAAGGGTTATAGATAAATTTTGTAATCGCAATGCTTCTCTAAATAGCATTGAAAATGCTAAATTAGTCAAATATAACCCAGTGATTATATCAACAGTGTAGCTACATTTTTTTAAACCATTATTTTTATCTATGGTTGTGCTTAGTCTATGAAGTCATTATGGTCATGGTGGGCGCCGGCCCGTCCTCGTCCTGAGATAATAAGTCGGAAGTTCCACTCATCCGGAGCTAAGATTGTTGATGATCTACGGTTGAATAGACGACAGAAATCGTCTGCTTCTGTTGATGGATATTCTGTCCTACGATGATTGAGTAGGTACTGATTTTATGCTGCCTTTGTTTTGTTTAAATTTTATTTTAAAGTATTTAATTCATGTTTACTGTCATGTTAAGTGTATTGCAGTGTTATTCTATTCCATACTAATATTATAAAGAGGTAAAGTTTCTTACTAAGTATGTTTGTTTTGTAGGGAGCACTGTTAGGAAATACTGATCCGATCATTAAAATTCTTTCACCTACAGGAAGATAAATCAAATGCCGGTGAAAGTATTAAACAGCTAGTTTAAAAGCTTAGCAATCGTCGTCAAGTGCCTAATCAATCGAGGTTCAAATAAATAAAACCTACCATATGTTTTAAAAATGTAAGCGGTATAATTGTTAACCCCGCTTTCGCGCAAGTGTAAAAAGGGAAATAATTTAGAGTTTTTTCGCGGTAAGATAAAAGGATTAACATTTAAACAATATTCTTAAAATTTAAAAACCGTAAAATTTGAATAATGTCTCAATCAGGTATCGAATTTATATTCTGTCATGCTGGAGTAAACGTCTACTATAGATCTACTGATCTCTTTTACGAATAATATCAACACTATGTAGATATCCATTTTTAACACATTTGTTTTAAAAATTAAAAACTATAATTGTTGAATTATCCATCACTTAATCTAGTAGGATTAAGCTTTATGAAACTCTGAGAGTATTAGAATGTCTGATCTAGAGCAGAGTAAATACAACCTTATACGGTAAACGTGCCTGAGTATTTACACACAATCGAGTATCGTAATGTAATTTAATTAACTGAGCCAACAGCAGCCAGCACGCCCCACTTACTAAGTAGTTTTAGATCTTATTGTTATGGTAATAACGTTTGGAGTCGTTAGGTGAACCGATTGTTATTGTAATGCAACACTCGGTGTGCGCTGTAGAGGATTGGTGGACATCTTAAGTTGTCACATTGTTTTTTTTTGCATCGGCCTATCTTAGCCGGGCGACGACCTAGCGTTTGTCTCTATTTCGATAGGGTTGGCAATAGTAAGATTAAACAGATAAAATAACGCTATTATGATATTATTAATACTTAGATGAAAATATGTAGCCAAAAATGATAATTTTAGCTATATAAATTCGTTTAGTGTCATAAAATGTTATCATAACTTAAAGATACGTATTAAGTAAAACAATAATTCTAATTTTGTATTTTTTTGTTTAAAATTTCAATATTACTTTTATTATAAAATATCGTAAATCTATTTCACATTGTATTTATTTTTTTGACAGACAAAAACTTGTTATCTAATATATGACTAATTAACAGTACAGCAAATGAAATATTTAACATTAAAAACAACTTAATTATATCACAATAATTATGTGATTCAACTTTAATTACAGACATTAATTTTGGATGCTAATTTAATTTTTTAATTTTTATCGTGGGATCATATTTCCGAGGCTTTAACAGATAGATTAGTGCCACAGAAATAATCTTTTATTGACTGCTAGACAGTTTGTATATGCCATAATACGTCTTGATATATTCTTAATTTGTCCTAGATTTATGATATATCATCTCACATAGTATGTTTTTATTTTATGAGTGATTTACGTTATCTACAGATTTATTGTAAAATTACTCGTGTAAGTTTTGTTGGCAACCCTAAAGTGTTACGGTAAACGTGTAAGTTAGTAGCTAGTGTCTAGTGGACGTGAGGCGATTCTGTTTGTTTTCTGAGAGCAGCCAATTCCGAGAATCGGCCTGGCTCGCCTTGAGGGCCTTAGAAATTTATTTCCATGTAATTTCTTGTTATTAAAGGCTTGTGGAATGACTGTTGGACAAAAGAGTAGCTTTGTTTTCTTATACTATAAAATTTTGTGAGTTGTTCTGAATATTTGATTTGTTATGGTGGTGTACGTATTTTTTAGGAATTGCATTTTAGTTTATATGAATTACTAGCTTTCGCCAGCGGCTTCACCCACGTGGTCCCTAGAGAAAAAATCATCAAAATCCGTTCTGTAGTTTCGGCGTGATTGACAGACAAACATCCAAACAGAGAAAGTTTCACATTTATAATATTAATAGAATGTCAGATATGATAATCTGAAATAGTTTACAGACTCCAGATATTTATTCATCTGGATAAATAAAAAAAAATGAATATATTGGGTATAGAAATATATTTAAAAAAATTAATAATACCTCGTGTCACACTTTGACTTGGAACATACAGTCAGTATAATAGAATCCATAAACACATTTAATTTTTTATACATTTTTTCTACACATATATCATTTTTAGCTGTAGCACCGCCTATGGCCTTAATGATGGTATGGATGTAATACGGTGATAATATTTTATGAATACTTTACCAATTCTAGCTGATAGGTTCTATTCTACTATGTTTTGTGTACATAGGTATATTTCATGGTTCAATCATATTTACTTACTATTTATCGTATTGATTTAATCTGAAAATAACCCCACATGGCCTCACGAGGCACTTTTAATGCGAGCTGGGGTTGAGCTACACCACTAGTGATTAGTTCCAATTTTTTGCCCCCACTCAGTAACAGGATGTTCCTACTCTCGATTATTTATCTTCTAAACCAGTTCTCGCTACTATACTGTCTCATATTTTCTGCACACTTTATCTTTCTTTTCCATTCTTCAATGCGTTCCTCGGCCGGAATCGCCATCTATTTTCCTGTTCCAATTTTCTTATTCTATTTATTTACATTCTAGCTTTTGCCCGCGACTTCGTCAACGTGATATGGTTAATTTAGGCACCAAGTAAAAAAAGTTGAAACAAATATTTACTTATTAATACTAATATTATAAAGAGGAAAGATTTGATTGTTTGTTTGTGTGCAACGAATAGACTACGAAACAACTGGATCGATTTTAAAAAATTGTTTCACCTGCAGGAAGCTACATTATATGCGGTGAACGATTATAGAATGTTTAAATACAAAGTTTTTAAGGTTTTATCTTTGACAATGACATAGTAAAGCGTGAAAGAGGTACAGACAACCTCTTTCAAACATGAAATGGATTTTTTTTGCGTTCACAAAATTTTTTATACATACGTGTTCCTCTATTCAACCCTCTTCGGAGCGGAGTTTCCAAGATGCCGTTCCAAGTACACGTAATAAGATGAAACCAACGGTTTAGGTTATGCGTAGTCATTAAGTGTGTTAAGACAGAGGTCCTTATTAAAGAAAGGAAGAAAGATTTTATCGACCAGATCTGTGCATGTACAATAATGTGTAAGATAACATTTCCTTATAGAAAAAAGAGTGCGGTCAACTTGCACCCTATCTCAGCGATTTCTCGTTCTCTAGGATTTCTTGGGCTTATGGGTGACCATCATGATGTTAAACCTGTAAATTTTATTGCCAGGTGATGTGGTCGCTGGCCGCTGTGTTGGCGACGGTGGCGGCGGTGGGAGCGTTGAAGTGTGAGGTGGCACAGTTGCGGTGCGCGTACCGAAGCGGGTGCGGCGCTGCATTAGAGAACTACGAGATGATGTGCAACGACGTGCTCGACGAACCAGGCTCCAAGTGCACTAAAGCCTGCGAGTACGCACTCATAGCTCTCACCTCCACTGAAGAGGGGAAGGCGCTGATGAACGTAAGTGGAACGTAATTTATATACAGTGACGTATTTTGAAATTCAGCGTCCTAAACGCGACCGCCTAACTCCAAACTGTAAGCAATAGCTATAAATAATATAATCATATAAAAATGATATCAATAAATGTTAGCAAATATCGAAGCTACAGCAGATTATAGAACTCTCAAATAACGGAATTGGCACAGTACTCCGCCCCAAGACAATATAGAGAAGTTCATTTTCTACATTGAACTTGACCGGGAATAGAACTTGGGGCGTCAGGGATCGTGATACCTTGAAACCAGCGTGTGAGCTACTAGGTTACGGATTTTCTTTAAAAACGTCAAGGTAACCTACATATAATACATACCTACCCACATAAGTAAAAATATTAACACATGCAGTTTACTTGACTTCTCGCAGTCTACTGTCCTAGGCCATGGCCCTTTGGCTCTAGAGTAAATATGTCCTTAGATAATACTTTAGGCAGACAACATAAGATACAATGCTCATATCCCAATTTATGTAGCTATAGCCACTAAAGCTTTTGTATAACGGAAATCTGAATTAGCGAATATGTATCATCCAATGACAAGGAACATAAAGAAACAGCTGGAAATCGAACCTAGAACAGCAAATACTTGTATAGAAATACCATGAAACAGGCCTTGTCCCACTACTCCGTAGAGATCGTTTGAATTAAAACCTAATCGCTTATATATGCAAATAAAAAGCTTTACATAGTCGTAATATTTTAATTACTAGAGTGGGTAAAAGCGCTATTATTAACACTAGAATTTATCTTTTCAACAACCTTTGAGATATAGAGTAGAACGTTTGGAGAAGGCAAATGTTGGTAAATAAATAAAATTAACGCAACATTAATATGTTGCGTTAATTTGATGCATTAAAAGTTTTAATAACTAACAGCAACAATTGTTGCGTTAAAAGTTTTAATAACATACGTAGGTCGAGACCTCCATGACTGCGCAGGTGGTTCTATAGTTAGCATAAGTAACTACATGAGGAAACATCATCAAATTTGCACGTAAACACATAATTAAGACAAAGTACCCCGCCGCTGCTATGAATGAATTAATACTATTAACTGAAATTTAAAGCAGTTATAAAATAAACAAAATGGTAGTAATTGATTCGGGTTTTGTGAAAGATGGTTGCAGTAACACTATGAATGTTGTATATATTGGAATGTCATGGCAATTGGGTGTGTAAATGACATGACATCTCTGCCCTGGACGAACCCTAGACCCTGAGGTCTAGGATCCAGGGCATTAAGTTACGATGCGGGAGCTCTACCACGTAACTGAAGCTCATAATGATCACTCAAAATGGAGCCGGCAGACCCATCAGGAGTAGTCTAGGATAAGAAAGATTTTTCCCGATCGGCCAATGTGGGCAATGAACTTTCTATTATAATCTGACCTGCTTTCTACTTCATTTGAGATTTCAGAAATGTCTGTTATGTATTGAAATGTCTATAATTAGATGACTTTTATCTATTAAATATATACTTTTCTTTTGTGAAGAAAAAATCTTGAACACGATTTTTTGAATTATATTCGGGTGCAACCCGCAGTCGATATTGACTCTACAAAATGTAACACAAGTTCATTAAGTTTGACTTTAACTAGTAAGTAGTCTAAGGAAAATTGCTGATTTTTTTATTGGACATTAATGCCATTGCCAAGACCTAACATGAATATACTAAAATGTATACTTACAAATTTGTTGCCAACAGTTTCTTAACTACAATGTAGTCAAATGCATCTTGTTTGCATGATAAATTGAGTAATCAGTTAGGGTTCAGAGTTATCAAAGTTACTTTTCATCGTGGCTGCAGCGTCTCTCAATTGAGGTGACCGCCCAGTCGATCAGGATCTTCAGTTTTATAGTCACTTCAGAATAAAGAAGGTCTCGGGAGAATGGTTTGAATCATGATGCATGTACAGACGCCCCGCAATAAAATCTAATTTAGACATCGTCGGGCAGATTTGTCGGGCGACAGGAGCTACCGAATCAACGGTTGACGACCTCCTTGCATTACCGTGAACATTGTTTTGTATCTCATGGATCAACGTGGGCGGGACTGTCACTAGTTGGCTAGTGTGACAAAAATGAGAAATCCCCACCATCAAGCTTCGCGTCTTTTATCTGACAGATCTCAATTTGTCAAATGTATCCGAATGGTGGAACTTGCGGTATTTGTAAACAGACATTTGTCAAATTGTCTTTTCTTATAATAAAACAAAAATTCATTACGTAAAGTATCTGCATGTTTGTGGTGAATGCTGTAGGAAGCTAGTTTGTCCATTATAAGTTGAAAGTTATCTAATCAATATTGTTATTTCACGCTTAGTTGGGTGAACTTAGGTTACCATGTCAATAATATCAAAGCACAGTAAAAAGTAATAATTAAATAATTTAAAATTCCACAATAAGATCTAGAAACTTTGCCGACTCTATATGTATTGCAATTGTATGAACAAAAAGTTTTAATAACAAACGCAGATCAAGACCTCCATGACTGCGCAGGTGGTTCTATAGTTAGCATAAGTAACAATTTGAGGAAACATCATCAAATTTGCACGTAAACATTTTTATTTCATTGTAAGATACTGCAGCAAGCAATTATAAAGAAAAGTTCGACGTTCTTGCATAAAGGTTCTATACATTTCTCACATTTCTCATGAAAAATCAAAACTAAAATATGGCCGTAGACAGTATCGCGTCTACATAGATAACGCAGCTTGGATTGAAAACTGGTCGAGCCCTTAATTATACCGTAGCGGTGTGATTATTGTGGTACGTTGGTTGGGCAATACGTATCGAAAGGAGCGGCAGAGTACAGCCTTGAGATTTGACTTCTTGATCGGGACCTACCGCATCGGCCACTCTTGCGCAGGTGTTGCTTGCCGTGATACAAAAAACACGGCGTAAGTCGGCGGCTGCTCGCTTTATAAGTGATCCTAAATATAATACAGCGAAATGACCTAAATACAAAAATGGCACGACTGTTCCTAACATTTAGTAACAGTTTAGATAAAATTTTCATATAAATTCTCATCATAAAAATACATATTCGATGTATGGTCGGTGATGATTCGCCGCTATTTATGCAAATATGTTGTGTTCATTCATAATGATCAATGTGGAATGTTGTTCTGAGGTATAAGCCTAACGAGTAACTTTTTACGCAATCGATTCAAATGTCCGTGCGGTATTTATTATGATTTGAAAAAATATATACATATTATTTCAAACAACAAACCCGACGACGATTCGGAATGTTTCTGGCTATATCGTAAAAAACTTTTACGAGCGTGAAAAGTTATTGAACGCGTCACGGACTGTTAGAATTTACGATATTACCTTAAACTTTATATATTGGTACGAGTTAAAAATATTTAGTTTCGGACGTTTTAAATCAACTTATCTTTCTTTTGTTGCAGTGTAAATGTGAGGATCAGTATTGCGAGCAAGCGAGGAGGCGGATAGACGTGTGCCGATCACAGGTGCTAAGTGGAGCCGCCAATGTGACGTCATCATGTCGTCTTTCTCAGTTGGTATGCATGGCTGATGCTCAATGCGCTGCAGCTTTAGGTTACTATAAGCAGCTCTGTAAGTCAATGTTCAAAGGGAGAAAATGTTCCAATCGATGTAGAAACTCCATAGAGATCTTGATGAAGCAAGAGAAAGCTGCGCCTCTCACGGCTTGCCAGTGCGACGGCATGGAAGATTACGACTGCCCACGGATGCAGAGTAACCTTGACAGACTCTGTTTCCATAAGCCTCATGAAGCTCACAAGAAGAATCACGGTCACAAATCCAAGCACCATAACGATAATGAAAACGAAGTGCTCCACGATGGTGCTAGTTTTAGTTCGATTTCATGGTCGATGCTAACTTTAAGTGCTATTTTAACGTTCAGTGTGAGATGAACTTTGTGTTCTTTGGCCTTAATTTTGTGGCCATATTGAAAAACAGGTGTTTTAGAGACATTATTAGAAAACCTTAAATTTATTATTTTTCATCGAGGCTATTTTAGGTCACGATAGTATTGTAATGTAACCTAACTTAATTTCAGAAATTGTATATTTTTGTAAGTTTTATTGTAAATATGTACAGTATATTTTATTCTTTATTATAAAAAATAAGAGTGAGCGTGTGTTCTATGAGTTATCATATAATATTTCTTTTAAGCTACAACAAACGTTTTTCGGAATTGATGCTGCATAATTGAACGCATTGGTTCAGGAAAATTTGCTTAGAGACCATAGATTGCTTTTATAAAATTCATAATAATTTAAAAGCGAAAGTAACTCTGGGTGTATTTGTCTGTTACGTTTTCACACCTAAACTAATGAACCATAAAATTCGATACACGGATACAGTTAATCTTGGGGAAGGACATAGGATAGTTTTTATCAAAAACAATATACTTAACGGGATTGGACTAAGGGATAATAATCGAATTTCTCGCTGGTGATGCCTCAGGCGAAAAGCTTGTGCCTAATAATTCACAATTTGTAACACAACGATTGTGCCACTAAATTGTGTCGATTGTCATTTTATTTAATTGTGGTGTATAATAAAAGTATTTATTCATTCATTCAATTTCTAGGAAAAATGATAGTTTTCCGATGGAATAAAAAGATATCTAGTTAGGTTTACGTGTGGGTTAAAATGTACGGCCGGCGTCCGCCCACGGCGCGCCGCTATAAATACGCCGGCGCCGGTGGTCCGGTGACAAATGCTGTGCTTGCGTCGACTGATCTATCGTCCGCCCCCTACCCTACCCTAGACAACTATATACTTCATATCTTTAAATTTTTGAACAAGAAATTGGTAAGAAAAATATTCTTGTTGGTTTTGTTAGTTGCGCGAAAAATTCGATGAGATCTTTTAAACTATATAACGGATTTTAATACGCTTTTTTTTGTGGTCCTATATGTATTATATAGGACCAAGCAGGCTGCTAACTGAAAGCTCTATCTATCTATAAGATAAATAATGCTTCAATTTAATGCCAAGTCTCCCGCCTTCAATTTATATGAATACATTTTTAAGGTCTCAAACTATCCACTTATTTATTTCATAAAGTCGGCTCAGGTTTACATATCGATAGATAGATCGAGTTACTTTTCCCTTTAATTAGAAATAATATTTTTGGGTTATCAGCTTAATTTAGCTTAGGCAGAATTTATGGTTACAAATAGAATTATAAATATAATTTAAGCTACATATTTATTATATTTGATAATTTTTTGCATTCACAATGCTATACTGGAAAATATTCTTAACGAAAAATGTAAAATTTATTAAAAATTTGCATATTATTATTTTTTGATAACAACTGCTGTTTTCCAGAGGCAAAGTGAAAATAAACATCTATTATTTCCAGCTATCAGTTTGTTATAGAGTGGAACCTATTTACAAAAGTGGCCGATTGGTTTGCATCATTCATTTCTGTCGGATGGCTAATAACATATTATAAAAGATATTCAGGTCTCGCTCAAATATTTTTCTCGTACTTTGGGAAAAAATGCCTTGGTTAACTTTCTTAGTTCATTTTTAATATGACATGCAAAGTTATGGGTACATTCAATAATACATATTTTTGATTAAAACTGACAAACTATTTTCGAAATGCTATTATGACTCCAAATAAACGCATTGAGGCAGGATCTGACACAGCCACTGATGCACAGATAAACTTCGCTGATAAGATTTGAACAACATTATAAGAATGGTTCGAATTTGTCCGAATTTTCGTTCAGGGACAAATTGAACAGGCTCCCAGGTTTCATGTTAAGTCGTAGTTATAGATCAAGGAAGTGGATACACTAATGAATGACACAGTGGCTAATTCTGTTCAAGCTAATAGCCGACGAGGCGTCGTGACGCGCGACAAACGTTCTACATGTCGCCCTGTCGTTTTGTTGCTCGCAACATCCGCTTGGAATACGGTTCACGCTTCTTAAATGTTCCACTTCATTAATTAATAGTTCTTCATTCAACATGTGTTTTTGTTAGACGCTTTATTAGTAAACTTTTTTATTTCGGTATACAATCAAGTTTTAAAAGGGCTCTTAGTTAAATATTGTTTTTTAATGTCAGATCATTTTATATAACAAACATACTAATAGCACAAAAGTCCATTAATATTGTTATTAGTATAGAGACGTTACTGATACAAATTTTCAAATTTAGAACATACATTAGAGCTTAAAGTCGACATGACACATTGGACGTGAGTGAGTTTAATGACTTTAATTGAACAACTATTCTGAATAGAAGCAATTTTAAATTGACGTCTTGTCAATTCACCAAAAAAGTTTCTATGGTCTGACATTATTAAATGCACTATATTATTGTTGTAGCTCATTCTTCAAAACATTAATATATCGTCGAATACAGCGTAAAAGAGCTAGAAGTTTAATCAATTAAAACCTACTTCAAAAGGAAAGAAAGTTTCGACGCTGTTTGCTGCAATTGCTGCAATGAGGAGATAAATATACGCGATTCTTTACAAAAATAGAGAATTAGTTATTGTAAATTCATTTAAAATAGCTATCATAAAATATAAAAATTGTAAATTAATTTGAAAAACTACGTAGAGATGTATACGAATTTGGTTCGTTAGTATTTTAGAATAAACTATTCATACGGGTCGTCGCGTAATGAAGAGGTTCCGATCCAGTGCAGGACCGGTTTAAGTCTGCGCGTGGTGCAATTGCATCGAACAGCCTTCGCAAACCAGAGCAAAGCTCGTAACTGTAATATAGATGTCTGACAGTACTTATTAAATGCTGGAGTTTATATATACGTGTAACAACTTACTATTTTATGTTCTAATCTGAGTACAAGTATGTGTAGCGTTTTGAGGATGAAAAATGTATATTTGTATATTTTCAGATATTAGAACTGATAATTGTACGTACGTTTTTCATCCTTATCGAATTATTAAGGAGATTTTCAATCTATGTTTTTATGTTATTTTAATTTCATGATATATTTGTGATGTTATGGGTTTTGATTAATTTATTTGTTGAAAAATAATAGTAAACAGTTCTTATAAAAGTTCACGAGATTTAGATAAAGCTTGTGAACTAGAAAACTATTGATGTAAAAATGTATTAATATCATAAGAACTGATTTCCAAGAGTCAATACTAAAGAAACTGGTTTTAAAGTCATTTTGAAGAGGAAAGAAATTATCAAATGACATACGGCCAGTTGCACAAACGTCCATTGAGGTTTAATGACGACTTTAAGCTCTAATAAATGTCAAATTTGTATCGGTAATATCGCTTTAAAATAAAGACGTTTGTGCTACTGGTAGATAGTGTGGTGCTATTAGTGTTCTTACATTAAATAAAATATTAGCATTTATAAAAAAAAAGCAATTGACGAATTTTAACGAATTTTAAAATGATTATTAATTTGCGATTATTTTTTCCTAAAGTCAGATTTATAGTTAACGATAGTGGTCACGTAAGTTAACATTTAAACCTCATAATGTTAAAAACGGTCTATTGCAATTTTATTAATATTTCACTTGTGTAAGACGTAATCGTCCAGTACTAAAGCGTTTTATAAGTATTCTGACGCGATGTATCATTGCCAAGCCTTCAAGTCTTGTAATCAATGCATTATGCATCACACACTAGATGTAATGTGAGGAATATTAATGTTATGAATGAACAGCTTGTCTGGATAGCTCGTCTTATAGCATGCATATTTAGTAAGTACTTTAACACCTAATAGTTAGGGTCGGCGAAAGCTAACGGAATTACGTCAAGCTTATAATGGTAATGCACCTATGTTAGTATGTAATGATTTAATTGTCATATCATATATATGTCGGTTCCAGGGCGTAATTGTCTAATTTTGAAATCTATTACAATCTCTTTCGATTTGGTATTCACAAATTTCACGCTACAACTATTTGACATTTAATACGAATTGTGATAGTGACGTTTTTTTAAAGATATTGATTGAACGGTGTCGTTAATTTGGTGTTTATTGGTATTCTCTAAGGCAAGCGTTAGGCGCAAATATCTTGGAAGCTAGTGAGAAATGTCAAAAGGTTTGAATGCTATCTGCAGTCTTTTGACAGGATCAGCTAAGTTTTATTATGTTTTTTGATCAATTAAATTATGATTCGCTCCGATAGCAATTGCGAATTTAAATGTTACATAAATCGCATTAAAAGGGATCGCGATAAATGTTTAAATTAGATAATTAGCCCGTTGGCCCATTTCCTTAAACCAAGTATGACAAAATTGGAACAATATTGTATTATGAATACTTTTGCTATTTGTTTAGTCTCGTATAAAATAACTTCAATAAAAATATTATTATTGAAATGTACTTTTTGTACAAACATAAGTTATCTTAATTATGTATGCTTGTTGTGTGTTCGATTTCATTAGTAGGATATGGTAATTTGTGTATGTTTAGTTGATATTTCGTAATAATAAGAAAAGTATTTCAATAAGTACACAACAATTAATAAAACAAACTCATTAACCACAGTTTACCAAAGTGAGATTATTAGAATATTAAGAAAATGTAAATAAACCCACTACGGTTCATTAGTGTTAAGCTTTATTAGTTATAAGTACATTAGTTATTATATCGTAATGAAATTCGTACAAAGTATTTAAATTTCATAATTTATTAATTTAGAAAATTAAGCACTATGTAAGATAAAATTGTTGCATTTGTTTCGTTTTTAAAAAAAATATATTTTAAGTATATTAGTTGTATTTATTATTACTTATAAAATCATGAATAGACATTATGTTTTCGAAAAAAATGGTTTTATTTCTTTTTAAATTTTCAAGTATTTACAAATAAAACTGCACAGTTCTATTATTGAGATTTTAATTCCTTGGGTTTTTTTTATAATAATAAATAATGCATAGAATAATTTGCAAAGAAAAGAAATCAGCTTGCATAGATAAAAACATATATGTTCTTTGTATCGTAACTTGTTTTTTTTTAATATTGGGTTTTTAAGAACAACCTGTAAATTATAAAGTTTTCTATTACTAAAGATAATATACAACTGCAGTGCAATTCCAATAAAATATAATGTCAAACGCAGCGTTAAATCAATGTAATAAAAAGTTTGATTAAATAGTTCGATAAAATAAAATGTACTAAAAAAGATGAAGAATGAATCTTTTATGCTGTGTCACGGCTGTGTTTGAAGCTGTATTTATAGGAAATAACAAAGCCGATGATCACTTATAGTTTCCATTATAGAATATCCCCGAATATGAAGTGTTAGTGGTGAGTTAAATTTGAAAGTT